GAAGACAACCAGGTAAAACCGTCGGACAACCCGTCAACTTCTGCGATTTCTCTTTTCTAGATATCCAAGCTCGAGGGAGGCCAGACACTTCACCATGACAAAGGAAAGCGGTCCAGCAGAAAACACGTCAGATGCACCCGGGCCCAAAACCAGACCAAATGCAGGCCAACTCAAGGACCCATAGGGGTGGCCGAATCTAGACAAAGAACACCTTCACACCAACGGGGCCGCATCGAAACACTAAGCGCATTGCAGAGGAAGCCGAACTCGCCATTCCAAACGCTAAACAGACAATCAACCCGGGCCCAAAACCAGACCAAATGCAGGCTGAATGTAGACAGAAAACACCCCCACACCAACGCGCCCGCATCGAAACACTAAGCATCGGTCCTCCGCACAGACATCGCGCCTCCTATCGAGACCACACCCATCCTTAAAAAATAAAAAAACACAACGCTGTAACATTGCAGAAACACCACACAGTGGCACACACCGCAAATCACGACGAAATCGCTAGATAGCGGAGAAATCAACGACGGGAACACGACACAAAGACAAGCGAAGAACAAAGAGGGCACACACGTGTCGACACAACAGCACTCCAAAACGCTGACGTGCCGCAAAAGCAGAGCTCCAAAAACGGTTAAGAAATCAGGTTTCCGGCAACACCAGCCGCGTAGATGAAGATTGTACGGCCAAAGCGCGAAAGAAAAGAACCGGCTCGGTGTGCAGCGTCATGGCAAGGGGGACTAAGCTTTAGTAGTATGTGTTGATGTGCATACCATTCAGCCACCTGTCCAACACAAGTCTACTACTCCACCTTTCCACTTTCCTTTTTTGAAGTTTTTTGAACTAAACAGATGGAGGAACGAAAAAAGAAGAAGAAATTCAAGAATACAACAGAAAGTCAAAAAAAAAACTCACTTCTGCACGAATCTGCGGTAACTCGAGCAGTGCCTGGACCAGAGGATTCCACATCAATGCAGACCAATCATGGCTTTGATAGAGCGAAGGAGTGCCTGTATAGCTGATGGGAAATAGTGAATTTGGGACAGCCAATTGGGAATAGTGAATTGGGGAGATGGTCAAATGTGTTGGGGATAGTCAATAGGTTGGGGATAGCCAATTCGGGTTGCCTATGGGGGATAGCCAATTAGCTATGAGGTAAAGAATACAAAAGCTATGTATGATGTGATCGATATGATCTAATTAGCCAGGCAAGTCTGTAGCTGACTGGGGATAGCCAAGAGGGCATAGCCGGTTGGTGGGGCAAAAAGCCGCTAGCCAAATAGCCAAATAGCCAAAAGCCCAATTTGCAATTGAGTTAAGGATAGCAAAGCTATTGTGTGATCCTCGGGGAATTTAGAAATAGCCACTTGGGGATAGCCGATTGGGTATTGGCCATAGAGCAGTAGGAGTCGACTGCAACGGTAGAAGAGAGATCAAGCTGGTGTCTGCCTCTGCCTGGAGAGAACGCGCTGCACGACTTCAACTGGCAAGGCGTACGCTGGATCGATATGCTTAAGGCCTGGATACTCCAGAAGAGAAAGCCCTGCAGACAGAATAGGAAATGTGGCCCAAAACAGAGAGAGATGCACACAAATATAAACACACGGAAAAGTGCCTCGCCCGTGTACATCACACCCTGCATCAGTCACTTTCTATTAGTTTCTAAGCTTATATATTCATTCCAACTTTCATCACAAGAAATTGCAATTTCCCTCAGCTGAATTTTGTTCGATAACACTTTTGATTCCATTTCTCAGTTCTCGCCCCATTCATTCGAGTTTTTTTTTTTTTTTTTTTTTTTTGTGGGTTCCAACTCCTTTGGCTCAAAGTTCTCCATTGCTTCCTTTTTTTTATTATTATTATTTTTTTACTTTAGCGTCAGGGCCTTGAGAAATCATTGTCAAACAGACCACCCCCGAGGTAATTGAACCGTAATTCAGACTTTTCAATTTTCAATTCTCATTCATCTAGTTCCATTTGGATTCAAATTTCAAAGTTTTTCAAACCAATGGTCTCCAAAATCATAGGTTAAGGGTTCAAATCCCTATTCTACTGTAATGTAATTAATAATTACAATTAATGTTCCTATCTCTATTGCAAGGAACATGAATGTGGACGGAGCAAAGAAATCCCAGTTGCAAATCACACTGAAGTCCAGGTAGTCAAAGCAAGAGCACATAACACCTTGGAACCGAGCAATCATCCATTTGAGAACGATACAGCAAAAGTCGTGAGTCAATGTCCAAGCCCAATCGGGCAACACCAACAACATAACCCGAAGTAGCCTTCTCTCCTGAATGGCGCCAGGCGCCCTATCTACTCTACAGCCTATCCTACAACTACAGTCATGGAAGCAACCAGACGACTTAACGACCAGCTAGTGATGATGTCAACACCAATGCCGACCTCCTCTTCCACCAGGTACGTCACTCTCTCTTGTCCCTCACTCTCCCTTGTTATCCCACACAGCGCCCTTCACTTCCCGAAGAACCACCTTCGCCCTCACCTCCTCCAGCGCCGTCATGCAGCCTGGCTATGGCTGCCAGCGCCCTGCGCCCAGGCTGCACCCTACCGCTTAGCGCCAGCCTGCCTTCCCTCAGCCTAGCGCAGCACAGCACCTCGCAAATGCACATCGTGCCGGCCTTGCTCGCAATGGCCAAGATCCCCGCCCACTCGCCTGCTCTGCCTATATGCCAGTATTGCGTGTGGGCGGCCTCCCTTGAGCCTGCGCCTGGGTCCCAGTACCTGTACCCAGGCCCAATGCGGTTGGGGCCCACTTAATACAGTTGCGCCTCTTTCATCAAGGCCTGCGTCCAGATTCAGATAGTGGACCGGTTTTCCATTGGCATTTTCGGCCTCTATGTTCAGCATGCAATGTCGGCCTCACGTTCATGCGCCCAGGGCGTAACCAATTCTGGGGCCCTGGTCCTTCTGCATTTGCGGAGATCTTGTACTCGGTGCACTCCAACCAACTGGCGTGCGGCAACTGTATGGACCCCACTTCGTGAAATGTTGAAGAAAAAGGGGCTCTCGTTGATTTGCTGGCCCGCCTTCACTTAGGGTGGGCACGAGGCTTGCTGGGGCCTTAGCCCAGAACATCTACATCACAGCAAGGCCCCTTGGAGGGCTCAATCCTCACACTATCAAAACAAACCTTTCAATTCATTTCATTTCATTTCATTTCATTTCAATCGTTGGAGAATTCAATTCGATGATTGGAGAATTCAATTCAATAATTGGAGAACTCAAGCGTACCGTATAAGTATATATAAGCTTGAAGAACAGGTATCTACTTTGACAGTTCACAGGCGTACTAAATGGATCCTCCGTTTTGGTGTTTTCCATTTCTTCGAATTCTTTCGTCAATTCATTTCTTGATCTTCGTTGCATCATCCTGATATTCTTTAGTTTCTGTTGTCTCGCTTTGAGACGAACCATGCATGACACGTCACACCAACCTCACACCAAGAGAAGCACACACACACACAAAGCACATGCAGATGAAAAGCTGAAAACTTGCGAATTGTCTAGGCAAATCAACTCAATTACACGAAATTGCATTCGTAGTATTTGTACACAGGAGGCGGCTATGCCCAACAACCTCTCTCTCTCTCTCTCTCTCTCTCTCTCTCTCTCTCTCTCTCTCTCTCTCTCTCTCTCTCTCTCTCTCTCTCTCTCACGTGACTCTCGTGCCTCAAGTCCCTCTCAGTACTTCTCGAGGCCACTCTCTCTCACTCGACCTAGCTCGTAGCTATGGCTGCTGGCGCCCAGACCCGCTGCCTACTTTCTTCCTCAGCGCCCAACAGTGCATCCGAAAGTCGCGTAGCTGAGCTTCCGCCTCGTCACGGAAATGAATATGTGTTGACGACTTCAACATCTCGACTTTCGTAACCGATGGTTCACCTTCTGGACTTCCTTTACCGGTTATGGGTCCGTACCCTCTGCCTTTGTTTGTCGCTTCTGGAAGTTTACGGACTTTGCCCGGAAATTTCATGGACCTTTCCTAGGACTGGACCAACTAATAGAAAGGGCCTACTGAGTAGTACTGACTTCTACCAACTTTTTTCAGAAACCTCCCGGTGCCTACACGATTTTTCCCTACGTCGGCCTACTGACAGATTTTTCCTTATGTCGGCCTACTGACACTAACGTACCTGGGACTCGGGAATACGACACATGTGACCGGGACTACGACTGGAACTAGGACCGGGGTCTGCACGACTCTGCAGTGGTGAAATCCTCTCAGTCATGTAATTCATCGTTTCCTCGCCCACTTCGTCGATGCATTCGGTCAGTTTAAGCGTGTGTCACATTCAGTTTGTCGACGTGTTCAGGCAGCTCTGGTGCCACTTGACTCCTTCCTTTCCTTTACGCCCCCGTTCTCGCATGCTCGCCAAAATACGCAGAAATTTAGAAAAGCCAAGAATGTACCTGGACGGCGCCACAGCCACATGCATGAACTGTGCTGGGACAGTGGCTGTGTCCATGTACATTTCTGCCTGCCTCCCTCTCCCTCAGGAGGGGAATCTTCTGGTTGTCCCTCTAAATACCAAGCCTGTTTGGCAGCTTGTGACAATATCAGAAAAGTCAGTTTTTTGCTCCCCTCTCGTGCCAAAAAGAGCACGAACTTAGTCACAACCCTGACCAGATCCATGCTAGCTTAGCGCAAACGTACACGACTGGAGCCTGCTCCTATGTTCCTCCAGTACCCACATCTCAACAACCCTCATAAACCATTTGTATCTTGACACGAAAATTGAGAAAATACTCCGATGTACCTTCACAGCAAAGACTGCCTGCCCTGTGCATGCCAGCCAGTTGATAAGTGGTTTTCGGGGTTTCAGACTGGAGTTTCGACTAACGAAACATACGAGGAGAGTCTGAAGGAGAGTGGTTAAAAAAAACAAAAACAAAAAAAGATTCAGAAAATAGTAAAATACTAACAAGAGAGGCAAAAGAGGTGGGAAAGAGAAAATGAAAAAGAAAGAAGCCACCAGAGGTAGGGAGCTCCGGTACAAGGGTACACCTATTGAACGAAGAAGGGGAGGAAAAGGGGGCAAAAGGGGTGTCGGATCCACCAAACAAGAAAGGGGAAAGGGTGGGGGCAAGGAGAAGAAGGGGGGGCGGGGGGAACGGTTAAACCACCAGTACTTGGCCCAGCTATCGCCGCAGAAAAAAAATAGAGTAGAAACGTTTCTAGTCGGATGGATTTGGGCGCTCCTGTAGTAGCCCGTACGTTTGCTAAAATTGTCGCTTGTTTATGGGCGGGCACGAGTTTAGGAACTATACTGGTAGTTTAAAGGAACAGAGGGGAATAGGTCCACCAAGCAAGGAAGGGGAAGAGGAGGGGGGAGGAGGGGGGGAGGGGGGGGAGGGAGAGGGGAAAAGGGGGGATAAGGCATGCTAGCCATAAGGCATAGAGAGAGAAATAGTGAGTGAGACCACAAAGCAGGGTGTGAAAACGTTGGGAGCATGAATCAGGGTGTGCGTGAGGCGGGGTTTCATTTTGAAACGGAGAGAGACGGTGGCAGGGGACCAGGAATCAGGGTGTGGGTTGGGTGGGGTGGGGTGGGGAGGGGTCTCATTGTTACGTGGGTGAGAGGGCGGAGGGGCAAGCAAGACCTGATGGACACAGAAAGTTGTTGAAATGCATACCCCACCTGCTACTCCAAAGAATGTATGGAACACGTCAACCATATCGTCAGGTCGATCGGAGATACCACCCCTTTCTTCATCCTGCGATTCAATTCCAGCCAGGACATCATTCATTCTTCTGTCAGTGCAGTGTAGTCGAGTCCAAGATCTCAGAGTCAAATCTCAAGATCATTGATCCTACTCCGAATAACAACCACACACCGCAGAGAATTATTATTCGTAATTTACTCACTTCTCATTACCCAATTTTAACTTGACCCTGCGCATACCTCGCCTTATCCTCCTTTTTTTTTTTTTTTTTTTTCCGGTCATAACACTCTTGCATTCCTTCGCAACCCTGATCATGCCCACATTCGATTGTCCATCCACAACGATCATCAACTATTGAAGTTAGTAAATTATTATTTTATTAAAGTATTAATAGTAATTTAATACTAACTAAAATCTGAGTGAGGACGCCGCCCGGCCGGGCCTGCCCTGCCGGGCTGGGCCCAGCCGGTTGGGCCCAGGGGGGGGCGCCTGGGTAAACCGGGCAGGACAAAAAACCGCGCAGAATTTTTTTATTTTTATTTTTTGAAACCGGGGTCATTCTGCGCTCGGCGAGAGGACCCCGAATCTGCAATAAAATTTTGGTTTTGGTGGGGGGTGGGGGGGTTGGCCTGGGTGGGGGGTGCTGGGGTTGGGGGGGTGCTGAGGTTTGGGGGATGTTTGTGATGGGGCACATATGCGTTTTTTCCTTCTTTTTTTTTTTGTAGGGTGTGTGTGTGTATACAAGGGGGCCAAGAGAGAGCGAGAGAGAGAGAGAACAGATCCCCTTAACACGGCTCAGACGGCCCATGCAGGCTATCTGAAGGGTCCTCGCAGATATGTAGCGCAGACCCCCCCACCAAAATGAAGGCAGGCAGTGAATATGAAATAGAGCACGAGCTGGCCGAATATATACTCAAGATTCGAATTCAGGTCTGTGTTTCAGCAGTTACGAGTTGCTCACATAGCTAGGGCCTGTTGGTCTCTGCGCGTGACTCTTAGGGCTTGGCTGCACTACTCACGAAATGTGCAAAATTAGAACGAATCTTCTAAAGAACGTGGATTCGTGGAATAATACGCCACCATATGTTTTGTCTTTTGTGCATTTGGTGAGTAAAGGCCCTTATGGCCACTGCACGTATTCCTAAGAAAAGAAAAACGAAAAAAGAAAAGAAAAGCGAGAAAACAGAGAAATGGTGACCCATAACCGACATGCACAGACCTGAATTCGAATCCAGACTATATATTATCTGCCCACCCTCAGGGAGTACAAGTTAGAAGTGTATCTCTGCTTGACGTCGAGTCCTGGCTAATATGCTGTAGGGATCCTTCCGAAAAGAGGCTGGACACAACGAGGACAATTTTGTTTTTCTGTTTTTTTAATGCGCCGCATCACTTGTTCGTGCGTGCATGTGCTTGCGGCACCACGCGCATGAGATGCGCTGCAAGTATGATTCGAACCTCTCTCTCTCTCTCTCTCTCTCTCTCTCTCTCTCTCACACACACACACACACACACACACACAGTGGGTCCGAAATCCCCCGACAGGTGACTGCGCTGGGGGGGGCCGGCCCCCAACCGGGTGCCCTGCCCGGCCAGGCCGCCCGGGACCTCCCCCGCGCCCCTGCCAGTCACCCGGGCGGCCCAGATCCCCACTCAGACTAAAATTAGTATCACTACCAATCAGTAATGTACTAATTACTAATTAGCAATCAGCAAGCACTGATTAGTAATTTACTCATTCCTATTTACATCAAAATGGTCATCGTGTCTGCAATCGTGCAAAGCTTTGAGCTCGTCTGAATCATAGACACGTCACCCGCAGTGTGTTGCTATAGTACAGAATATCAATGCCTGAACCTCTGCAAGTTAATCTCTGAATGGTATAGAGTCAGAATGGCGGGAAATTTATTTACTGACCTGGCAACTTAATATGAAGGCCTTGAGCCTATCCTTGTCAAGCCAATGGACTCTGTCGAGGATCACCAAGCTCGAGAGTACCCACCAGGAATAGCAGACCTTCAGTCAATGACGTAAAAGGAATAGCACACCAACACAAGAAGAATAGCACACCACAACAAGAAGAAAAGCACACCAGCACCACAGAGACACAGAATGCATGGCTCACATCAGCAACCAAACTATGGAATCGGCATGGATGATGCAGAGGCGAAAGCAGATAGAACGAATAGGGGTCCATTTTAGCACACAGTATTTTGAGTATTGAATCTATTGATCATTTATTTAATCAGAATAAGGTTCGCATACCTGCCGACCGCCGACCGCGACCACCGGCAGTTTTGCAGCCGACCAGTCAGACAACAGCCATCCAGTGATTGTTTTTCAAATTTGAGTTGGAGGCTATACTGCGCTTGCTGAGTACAGCCCAAACCCGCTGAGAAACTTTTGGGGATGGGTATACGGTGGTGTAGGGGGTACTGGGGGGTGGTTTGGGGGTGTTGGGGGGGATTATGGGGGGGTGTATTGGGGATGGGGGTATTGGGGTGTTGGTGGGGTTATTGGGGGTTATGGACTCCCAGGAAATAAAAATGGGGAACTCCTTTTTTTTTACTTCTTTTTTTTTCGCGGGGTGCCGACGACCCCCGAACGATTGGTGCCGACCATCCGACCGCTCGGCCGGTCGGCAGCCGACCAGTCAAGGGGCGCTGACCGTCGCGGTATGCAAGAGATTCAGAATCACGAATATTATTATTATTGTTATTAACTTTTATGCATTATTAATTTATTATTATATTATTAATTTATTAAATCATTATGTATAATACTAACATTATTATTATTTATTAAATTCATGAATTTCCTATTAGAAATATGAGGATTTCTAGATTTGTGTATCATCCTGGCAGAGGGACCATAGAAATAAGTCAAGCAAAAAGATAAAATCTGAATGTGCACCAACTGCCTCCTCTGACCCTCTGACCCTCTGAAATTCAAGGTTATGAACATTCTCAGTTAACTCAGTTAACACATGAAAGCTAGCCATACTACCATAGGCTGCGCGATATAGCTCCACAGAAACTCACCGCAAAACCACGCATGTGCTTGCACGTGCGCACACACACACACACACACACACACACACACACATGCACACACACACACACACACACACACATGCACACACACTGGGCAACATGATGGGTCATTTAATTGACTCATTATCCATCAGTCAAATGCATCCTGGGCAGACTGTCTGCCAGGGTTCAACCTCCTCCTCATGAGTTGCTGGAAGTCCAAAGAAACACTCTAGCACAGTCATGCTTTTTGTTTCTGGAGTTGTGCATACCATACACACACATGCGCCTGTGTGTGCCTGTGTGTGTGCATACCATACACACACATGCGCCTGCGCGCACGCACACACACACACACACACACACACACACACACACACACACACACACACACACACACACACATGCACACGCACATGCACAAACACACACACAAACAAACAAAAAGACAAAGCAAACAGCCCAGTCCTTGATGTCATTGGACGTGACAGGGGGCTATTCTACACACCCATCTGGAGGTCTCAATGGGGCTTTGAGATGAATAGCAAGTAGAGGTGTGTAGAATGCAACCAGCATCTTCTCTCAGTTCTCTGTGAAACTGTTTTATTAACTTTCAGTGATTAGCTGATAAGGGAGGGATTTTGCAAAATACTTCACAGCAGAAAAGAACATGAAACGTGAGAAACTACTTACGTCAGGAAGCTTTTCAGGACGCCCATTGAGACCTCCAGATTTGACTTGACGCTCACATAGCCACCAGCCAAGCAAGTCCGCATCCACATAATGAAGAGCTCCGGCTATGGCCAGGGCGCCAACGCAGCAAAAAACTATCCACACACACACACACACACACACACACACACACACACACACACACACACACACACACACAGGAACACATGTTGGAGGCCACCTAGCTCAGTTGCGGTGGAAGGGCATCATCACTGTTGGTGACTCAAGGATTGTAGCAGAGGCCGAGGACGCATACTTCTTTCCCTCGAACACAACACATGATCACTATTGCTGTATTTAGGGCAAATTTACGGGCAACGCATGGGACCCGGTGTAACGGGTATGCCTTACGTGTGGGAGAAGATGGTAGAGGTACTGGAGATGAGTGTAGGAGACAGAACCGCAGCTGCCTGCACATGAGGACAGAAGGCACTGGATTGAGGGGGAGGTATTTTGAAATTTTTAGATGAAAAAAAGGAGTACACTATGGTGCTGACTGTAGTAGAGGACCACGTTCTGTCAAGGCCATAATGTGGCGTACTCTGCTTCATCCGCCCGATCCTACACTAGGGTCCACTGGCGGACAATAAAAACCAACACGATTTGCTGTTGCGATAAAGAGATCGTGGAGTGTATAAAGCCATGAGGGAGAGAGGAGAAAGGAAGGAGGAGAGAAGGAGGCGGCGAGGGAGACGAGGGGGAAAGGGGAGAATGGGAGAAGGCCGGGGGAGGAACGGGTCCCGGTGTGTATATATGGTCAAACAGTTTAAAGGAGAGAAGAGGGAGGCGAGGGAGACGAGGGGGAAAGGGGAGAATGGGAGAAGGCGGCGGGAGGAACAGGTCCCGGTGTGTATATATGGTCAAACAGTTTGCAATTCTGCACAACTTTTGGCTGAGACAATGACCCACAACATGGGCCCGGTGGGACAAAGGTTGTGTATATTATTATTATTATTATTATTATTATTATTATTATTACTATTATTATTATTATTATTACAAGCAGATGCCTGCCGAGACTGCTGCAGATGCAGTGGGAATCATGAGGGGAGGAAACAAAATCGCAAACATCAGGGACAGTTCGTTTCTCCCCACGGCCGCACAGCACCAAGCGGGCTAAGCGGCATCCAATGGCCTGGCGAACATCGCAGTGCATCTTTCCACATTCCAGCAGGTGGCACTATGTGGAGCAGGTGGTACCATGCGGCGTGAGTGATATGGTACACAGGTTATGCAACATGGGCCCGGTGGGACAAAGGTCCCCCCCAAAGAAACAAAAACAATGTCAGACCCCCAAAGAAAAAGCCCAGCCCGTATGGCCGACTGGTGTCTTCATGATGGCACGTGGGCAGGATGGCACAAATGCTCGCTCTTCCCCCCCCCACAAAAAGCGAAAAACCAATGCCACTCCTCGAAAAAAAAAAAAAGTGGAGCCCCTCAAAAGACAAAAAGTGGTGCCCCTCAAAAGAAAAAAAGTGTAAACCCCTCTTTTTTCCTACGTGCACAAAAAAAAAAAGGATGCCAGTGTATCTTTCCATGTTCGAGCCAAAGATTCATTCTCATTTTGCACATTTGTGAGTAGTGGGATCAGACTGTCGAAAGTGCCAGTACGAGGGCGTCACTCCACTACTCACCAAATGAGCGAAATGAGAATGAATCTTCCGCTAGAACATGGGACGATGCACAGCCAAGTGCCAGTATGAATTAAGAGAACACAGTCATCCCCCAGACAGAGGCGCCTTGCTCCAGTAACCAAATGTGCAAATTGAGACTGAATCTTCCACTAGAACATGGGATCCACTAGAACATGGGAAGATACACCGCCATAGCAGTGGATTGAGGCCCAGATTCCAGCTCCTGCGGCGTCTTTCCACTCGAATCCGGCAGCTATGTTGTTGTATTCAAACGTGACGAACTAAGCAAACTCACAAAACCACAAAAACGGGAAACTTCTAGATTTGAACGCGCAGCAAACAAAAAAAAATGCGGGCTCCTCCACACAGCCGCCTTGTCAAAAAAAAAAAAAAAACAACTTCTCCCACTACCACGCGGCCCAGGCAGCGCCCCAGGCCCAACAGTGAAAAAGGTCTCATGTGGGAGCGTTATGCAAGACCTACTGTTTCCTTTAAGAGTATAGCTAGGCTACCAGAGTGGCACGGGACCACTTGCCCGGCTGGGCCAAAAAGATTTAAAAAAAAAAAAATTTAATAATAAATATATGTTTTTTAATCTAGGCTTCCATCCGAACCGCCCGTGTCACCCTATGTTTCCGGGCGGCCCGGCCGTGCAAGGACCAGGGAAGGTCCCAGCCAAAAAAAAAAATAAAAAAAATCCAAAAAATCCGAAAAAAAAACTATGTTATGCAGAAAAATAAACTGCACAACTTTTGACTCAGGGTCACATCGAAATTCTTTACCAAATTTAAAATAAAAAATTAAATTAAAAACTAATTTACTAATTTACTAATTTTGATTTATTTTATTTTTTTATATCTTTTTGGCCCGGCCGGGCAAGTGGAGCTGGGCCACTTTAGTAGCCTAGTTTTTAATTTAAATTTTTATGTTAAATTTGGTAAAGAATTTCGATGTCACCCTGAGGCAAAAGTTGCTCAGTTTATTTTTCTGCATAACATAGTCTTTTTTTTTGTTTTTTTTTGTTCGTTTTTGTTTTGCTGGGACCTTCCGTGGTCCTTGCACGGCCCGGCTGCCCGGCAAAACAAGGTCACCCCGGCGGCCCGACTGGTAGCCTAGGAGTATAGGGATTGTTATTACATTATTATTATTGTTGATATCATACATCAATATGGTATTGTACATAAACTTTTAGCATTCAAAGTTTTCAAACATAAGTACAGTTATCCAAAATCGAAGTGCTGAGCGACGTATAAAAGATTCTTCAGCCGGCGACTCGTCGCCATTGTTGAAAGGAGAGGCCTGCTTACTTTGGCCAGCATGTGACTCTCCACCTGGCGTGCACCCAAAACCGCCATCAAAATTCTTACAGCTGGCAATGTACGCAGCAGCTCTGTCCACATCTATTTTATCCAATCTTCCAAGCAGGGACAAGCATGAAATCGCACAATAGGAAAATCTGCAACAATCCCAAGAAGGAAGTGCGCACCAGAAACCCGGGCAAAGAGGAGGGGTGAGCCAGGGGGTGTGGGGAGAAGGGTGGAAGGAGAAGGGGGGTAGGAAGGGTGGGAGAGGGAGGAAAACACAATTATTAGAAAATTATAAAAATTGAGAAACGAAAGAGTATGACAAACAGAAAGTTCTTTGACCGACTTTGCCCTTCTCAAACTCACTGTGAGACCGAGGGCGTTTAGGGGATACACTAGGACTTCTAAGACCCCACCTAGCCAGAAAGATGGTCCGATACAGCCTGGACACTCCTACCAGCGTGAAAATGCCCTTAGTCAAATTGCTTGTCAGGTACTTCATATAGCATAGATGGTAGGTGATCATTTCCTCACCTATGCTATGGTCATTCCACATTTCCACACTTGATCTCCAAAACGGCCCCAGGTAAATCAAGAGTTGATGTTTACGTTTTCACTGATCCGATACCATCCGGGTTTCGAACTCAGGTCTGCATTTCAACAGTTCGTAGACGTGTACCAAGTGAGCTACCGTCTTCACCCAAATAGAATGCCCGGTCATTATAGCTGTGTATTTGGCCCAACTTTCAGTCCAGATGCAGCGATAATGACCGGCCATTCTATTCGGGTGAAGACGGTAGGGCAGTTGGTCCCTCCACCTTCTTCTTTAAAGTCATCATCATTCTCTTCTTCTTGCCCATCTTTGTCGTAGTCTGTCCTTCTTCTTCTTCTTCGTTGTTGTCATTATCGTTGCCTCTCCTCCTCCTACTCCTTCTCCTCCTCCACCACCACCAGAACAACAACAACGGAGGAAAACAGAGACCTTTCTGTTCATGTCATTGTTTCCTCCCCTCTCCAGTGCGCCTCCCTGTCTCTGACTAAATTGGCCACCTCCCCGAAGTGTCTATGCTTGCTCAAACTACACCTCTTCCCGAACGTGTCCTTCCCACATGCCGAATCATCACACTGTGTCACCGTGATCATCATCGTCGTCATCACCATCATTGTATTAATTATGTGCTTATTTAGCGCCTATACAGAGCTCTATGTGGAGGAGAACCAGGGTAAGGGGGTCAGACAGCCTAGATAGATATTGGCAGTCTTCATCGATATCCATTCTGGGTCTCATCCACCCACCATAAACAACCTCCATTTTGCACAGGAGGAGAAACGGGACGAGAACCAGGAGGAGGAGGTGTGGGATGACGAGCGGGAGGAGGGGAAGGGGGAGGGCAGGGAGGACACCGAGGAAGGAAGACAAAAAAAAAATATGGCCGTGTATCTCCCCATGTTCCATCGCAAGATTCATTCCAGTTTGCATGGAAGGAGCACCAGGAGGAGGAGGGGCGGGATTGCGAGCGGGAGGAGGGGAAGGGGGAGGGCAGGGAGGACACCGAGGAAGGAAGACAAAAAAAAAATATGGCCGTGTATCTCCCCATGTTCCATCGCAAGATTCATTCCAGTTTGCATGGAAGGAGCACCAGGAGGAGGAGGGGCGGGATTGCGAGCGGGAGGAGGGGAAGGAGGGGAGTGGGGAGGACGGCAAACAGGAAAACAAAAAAATATGGCTGTTTATCTCCCCATTTTCCAGGGGAAGATTCATTCCATTTTGCACAGCAGGAGGAGCAGGAGGAGGGGTGGCATGACGAGTGAGAGGATGGGACGGAGGGCAAGGGGCAGGACGCGAGTGGGAGGAAGTGGACAATGAACGGGAGGAAGAGTGGCAGGGGGTGCGCTATGAGGAGGGGCGGATGACGAGGAGAGGAGGAGAGGAAAGAGGAGAAAGGTGAGGACGACGAACCACGAGGAGGAATGCAAGGAGAAGGGCGAAGGCGAGGAGCGGGAGAAGGCAGTGGATGAACGGGAAGAGTTGCAGGAGAAGCGGACGAGGAGGGGGAAGATGACGGATGGGGGGGCGAGGAGCGGGAGCAAGAGAGGAAGAACGGGAGGAGGAGCAGAGCAGGACGGGGAGTGGCAGAGCAGGAGGAGGAGGGGCAGACGCCGGGTGTTTTTTTTTTTCTTTTTTTTTGGGAGAGAGACGGGAGGCAGGAAGAGGTGCGCTGCGGGCCCCTCCATTTCCGTCTTCGCCTCTCCTCCATCGTCTTCTCTCGTCCTCTTTGTTGGGACGTGAGCGGAAACAAGACAAGTAGGAGGAGGAACGGGAGGAGGGGCAGAGCAGGAGGAGGAACGGAAGGAGGAGGGGAAGACGTCGAGCGTTCTTTTCTTTACTTTCTCTTACGGGAGGAGAAGGGCAGACGTCGGGCGTTTTTTTCTTTTCTTTTTCTTTTTCTTTGGGAGGGAGATGGGGGGCAGGAAGAGGTGTGCCACAGGCCCCTCCATTTCCCTCCTCGTCTCTCCTCCATCGTCTTCTCTCATCCTCTCTGTTGGGTCGCGGCTTCACCGCGGCGGGTCCGACTTGTTTTTAATAAAGGTCCAGGGTGTAGTAGAGGTTGGTGGCCAAGCCTCAGGAGGTGCCCGCAGTACTCATCCATTGGGAGGTCAGATGGGTTGCAATTTCCAACCTGAGAGTAACATAATGTAATCCCATCCTGTTTTGATCCTCCTTATCAATTAATTGCACACATGTAGTCGTTATGTACCCATAAATCTGGGGCTCAAACCTCCTCCGTGCATGCGCACACGGGGATTCGAACTGGATCCATAACGACTACAAGTGCGCAATTAATTGATAAGGAGGATCAAAACAGGATGGGATTACATTACATTACTCTCAGGTTGGAAATTGGAATCATTCATTTTCAGCGTTTGTTTCGATCCTTCTAGTAAACGTTCGTGATATCCACCTCACCCCTGCAATGCTGTAGTGTCAAACTCCACGCACACCACACAGATGCGGCAGTTCTCGTGCACTTGCCAACACCACACGGACGCGGCAATTCGCACACACTTGGCTCCAATCAGCACGTGACCCCCACTGGTACATCGCCGGGTCACTCAAACGGGACTTAAAACTGCACGCAAGTTCCCCGGGAGCTTGCCACAGTAGTTATGGATCCGTACATCTGGGCCTCAGACCTCCTCCATGCATGCACGGATTCGAACCAGCGCCCTTGGCCACAAGAGCCGAGTCTCTTAAACCACTACAGCCAGGACGCGGTGTTTAAAAGTGGAACCATACCAGTCATGAAAAGCACTGGCACGCACATTCTGTACCCAGTAAAAAAGATGCTACCTGGACACACGTAAGTTTTTACACATCAGAGTCATGTTCAGATGCGGAAGTCGGCAGGCCAACCACGGAATAGAAAAAGTGTTCCTCACCTTGTGTCAACTTCTCCCCATTCATCGCCAACAAACGATCCGTCGGCAAGCTGGAGTCCTGAAATGTCTAAATCCCATCGCCACAACCATCAAGGGACTATAACAATTGTGATGATGAAATTGGAGGGAAGCCATAAAGGACAGACGAATCAAGGCAGCAGTTCACACAGAACAAAGAAGAGACAACAAAGGAACAGCAGACATAAGAACAACAACAGAGAGAGAGAGAGAGAGAGAGAGAGAGAGAGAGAGAGAGAGAGAGAGAGAGAGAGAGAGAGAGAGAGAGAGAGAG